CTAGCATCTGTATGAACCTGTTCGAACAGTATTTGGGCCACCTTCAACAACAAGTAGGACCACTGGTACTGGATCTATATAAAAAAAAAGAAACAGAGGTTATATATTTAATTAAGTATGATTCTGACCTGATGATTCTGCACGTGTCGATATAATTCTGGATGAACTTCGAAGGGAATCCGTTACATTTGATGGAGATTGTGGTGCAAAAAAGTCTTCTGCAATAGCTCGCTCAAGATTCGCGCGAAATTTGATTTCACCTCCATATTCTCGTCGAGTTCCATCGTTGATGAAAATGAACTCAGTATGATTAGGTTCAAGCGGCGCTTGACCTCTCTCTGTAGAATGTGACTTCACATAACCCACATTACTTCCATCTACAAGAAGCTGGTCACAATTCGATACACAGCCCCATGTTGCAATACCCTATTATCAATATAATCATATAGAAGAAATAATTGAATTCAGAAAAATATGATATACAATTATATGGGTTGGACGCGAATTATTTGGATTTGTTGGAACGATGTCACCAACAAGTTTCATGATTCCTGTATTCATACCTCCTGTAATTATCCAAGCTCCTGAAAATAACACCAATATGATTAATGAACTATAAATAGCTTCTCTGCTTAAACAAAGTAAAACCTTTTATGTATTCCCCTTTCCTACATGTAGGAAAAAATAAAACGTCTATAGTGTTACTTAACTCAACCTACAGTTCACAATAGTTTATCGCTTAAACTTTCCGGCTTGAAAAGTTATTTGAAATCATCTATGAAACGTAATCGTTCAGTGATAAATTCTTTTTTTTTTGAACTTTTAGGATGTAAGGCTGTATGTTTTTAAAATCTTTTATTTTAAATAATTAATATTTGTGAACCAATGTTAATGAATAAGAAGAAAATTAGAAAAATTCCTAAAAATAAACAGAAGCTAAAATCTCACTAGTCAACACTGCTTGAAATGAGCTACTCGGTTCTGTCTCGAGAAAGATTGCATAAACAAATACAAAAAGTATGGTAAAACAGCGTGCTTGAATTAGAAGCCCACTTTTGATACACATAGGGGTAGAACACCTCAGCCACTTTTTATCTTTGTAACGGACATCTATAGTATGCCTTTCTTTGATGTGTAAATAGGAGTGATATCGTCTTATAATCATATTAGAAGAGCCCGAACAACATTTCCTTGCTAAGCATAACAAGAAAAATGGCACATACTTATTACTTATTTATATTTTTCAGAAAGCTAAACAATACTGTAGATTCTGACAGTAGATGTCTGAGCCAAGATACTTGAATTAGACTTGAAAACCTGATGACATATACTACATGTATAGAAATACTACATTATTACAGTAGAAAAAGTATCAAAGGTTATTGCTTTGGTATTTATCGTATGGTAGATTTATTTAAAAGTTAGAAAACAGGTTTAGAGACTGTTGCGTGCTAGAAATGGAAACTATTCTTAGTGAGGTTAGTAAAAATTTAGATGAAAGTCTTATTCAAAATTTTTAAATATTCATTACATACCCATTATGAGTTTTGAGTGTTGCTTTGATCGTAGATATATTTGGCTAGTTTTATCTTGTATTCTTCTAAAGATGTGCCGAGTAAATGTTTCTACACTTTTTAATGTAACTGAGACACTTCTTTAAGTCTTATTCTATACGAATAGATGAGTTACGGTAGCTACGTAAATCGTTTACTTCTTATTCTGAATTATTGTATAGACTTTGGGAAAAACACAATTTAAAAGAGATTTCTTCTAAAACTAATCATAGACGAGAATAGGAAATCCCTTCTGAAATACTAAAAGTTCAAAAACCAGTTTCAATTGTTTATCTCATTAATTCATCATTCTAGAGTGGATATAAACTGACAAATAATTTTAATACCTGTTGTCGTTGCCACTTTTCGAAGGCCACGTCGAAATGCTCTTAATAATTTTNGTGATGGTTTCTAGAATACACAAGAAATCATAAAATATAATCTGGCCTTTTTGCTTGTATCACAATAATAATACGTACATCTTTACACCAATGTCGAAGCATTAATTTCTTAACATGTGTAACAGAAGCATCCGGTGGTACACAAATAAATTGCGCTCGATTCGATTTATTATCAGAAACTTAAATAAAAATATAAGAGTAGAAAATGTCTTCACATTTAGTATTGATCTAGGTATTAATGCATCTTACAAGTAATTGTTCCATTATATTCAGCATTAATCGCCTTGTGTAGCTATCCAAAAGAAAGAACAACTAATATAATTACTTTTTTATTACTATATTTTACTTGACGCGCTTCATCAAGGACATTTGTAGGTAGAAAAGTGGATATAAAATGTCGAACATTGTCAGTAAGAAAATTTGTTGACCGCGATATAGTTGAATTTTGTTTGTTGATCATATTTACCAAAGTTTCAAATGTATTAGCTAGTTTTGTTCGCTTCGTTTCATTTTATTTTCTATGTTGGCGACAAATTAGTAATGAATCACTCTATTCAACCGAGTCGTAGTGTCGTTAGACGTAAAATTACCTATACTTTTATTCTTGTACGGTTGCACGTTACGAAAGAATAGAAAAGGAAGTCGCCGCAGTAACATATATGATAGCACGAGAAAGAGCGCAACATGAAAAAAAAATATGATAAGTCATGCGGTGATTATTTCATGGTCACGCGTCATTGTATCTATCGAACAAAAGAGGACGACCAAACTAATGACTATAGTATGTCTCGAATGACAGTACTCACAGTAGAAACTACACTGCGGTCTTATGAGCACGAACACTGATCAGTAGTACGTGTGCTAAAATTTAAGTATCTCAATATAACACTGACTATTGGGCATGTAAAATAGACTGTTGCACGAATGGCCATCGGAAATTGTTTGAGTACTCAGGTGTTCTTTTTTGTGAAATATTCATACATTCACTATTTGTTCATTATTCATTTACTAATTATATCGATCGTATTCTTTTGTAGCAATGTGCACTGAAGCATAAGTGTGCATTATGAAAATTTAAGAAATGCAGTGGTGACATTATTTTTTTATCTTTTATTAAACCCGAAAAAGAATGTTGTCATCCAGAAAAAAAACAGTGTATAAGACGCTGTTCTTCGATGGTCGAAATTATCAACATGGGGACCTATTTGTTTAAATAATTTTACGATGCAGCACAATTTTTGTTTTTTATTTAACATAATTAAATAAAATTTAATTTAAAATCTTTAAATAAATAAATAAAATTTATTTAAAATAATAAATGTTTTATCGTTCATGATTCAATATTTCGTCCTTGTTTATACGGACATTGTCTAGAAATTGTTGATCCTTGTAGTTGTTGAGATTGTTGTTGTTCTTTTGTTTATTGTCGATGTTCTTGTTTTAATACGATTTTGTCTTTCTTTTCCACGACCTGATGTTTTCTTCTTTTTAACATTTCCAATTCCACGATCTGATGTTTTCTTTATTTTTAACATTTCCAATTCCACGACCTGATGTTGTTGACTTGACCGTTTGACATAAATTTGATGTTGTTGTTGTTCTTATTTTCGATTTCATATGATTGTTTCTTTCTTTTGCTGCTTGTTAATGTATTTTATGTAATGCATCATATGAGAATCGATTTTGAAGAAAGTGTCCAGAAAGATAATAATGATGTTTATGATATCTGTAACGAAAAAGGAATTAGTTGGAGTGTGTTTGTGTGGGGTGGGTGTTGATTATGGATTGGATGGGAACAGTCTTGATGAAGTTAGGTTTGAGTGGTATTTTGTTTGTTAGTTTTCTGTTGAGTTGTGTAGAAATTTTTTTTTCTCGGTTGTCGGAATTGCGCAGAATGTTATGTAGTATCATAGGTGGTGACTGAAAGAATGGTTCTTTGTAGTTTTGTAGAGGGATGTTTCATGTGAGCATTCTTTGTTAGTCTTTTATGTATAGAAGGTGATAAGGAAGAAAGGAATGAAATTGGATTGGTCTATCATGTTTGATATGAGTCAGCAACATTTGATGTGTTAAGGTTGAATGAAGTTCTGAAGAAAGATGTTTTTTTTAGGCGAACGAAAATGAATAAAGTTTTCTTTTTTTTAAGATTTTGCAAAAATTTGAAGCTTATATGAGTTCTGTCAATAGTTTAGAGGTATTTCCTTGGAATAATGTGGATGGATTTTTACGGTCACATCATGGTGTTGAAGTTTTACATGCTTATCGTTCGTTTCGGAAGTTATTTCTGCGTTTGGAGTCAATATGTCTGGATATTAGTTTTTTGAAAACATGCCGAGCGAATAGTGTTATTCCTAAATTTTTATGGTTTAATATGTCCAGTCGGCATCTTACTTGGTCACGTGTGTATCAGGATTGTCAACGGCGATTTTTAAACGTAGAAATTGATTGGAAGTACCAGTACTTTTATAGGACGAAGTTTGAATATGAATCATGGTTGAATTGGCTTCGGGAATTGGTGTCGTGTCGCCTTTTCGAACACTTGTATTTGATGGTTGTCAATTATTGTCGACCACTAATAAAAAAGAAGGAAAATGTTTTGCAAGGAAAGCTTTGGAATTTGGGTGTGCGTTATGAATGTTACGAAGTTAACGATTCAAAAGTCGTACAAAATATTTCAACTCGTATAGTATCTGATGAAGAAATTCAATGTCTTGCTAATGGATTAGATTATGGTTTAATTCCTAAACGAGTCGATAAACTCATGATTGCTAGTAATATTGAACAATTCTACCATCGTGTTACCGATATCGCCCAACATCATAAGAAATTCATGAACGAGCTAAAGGAAGCTGGAGCTGGAGCAATTGTTAAAAGTGATGTGCGTGTTGTGAATCCAAAAGAGCTTACATTGGCTGCTGATTTGCGTTCGCTAACTCAATCGTTCCTTCATAAGGCTAATGAATTTCAACAGCAAATAACAAACTCGACTCTAAAGAAAAGTATTATCGTACTATCCTGAAGAAATTAAGAGAAGATGATTCAATAATTATTACTCGGCCTGATAAAGGTAGAGGAATTGTGGTGATGAATCGGCAAGATTATGTTAACAAAATGCTAACTATTCTGAATGATCCTACAAAGTTTTCTTGTTTGTCTGAAGATCCTACAATTAAAAGAGAGAAACTTCTGAATGATTTATTAAAACAATTACATAACGAGCATAGCATTACAGATCAATTTCATAGTATTGCAGGTGCTACTGGATCGTATCCTGGACGACTTTATGGACTTCCAAAAATCCATAAAGAAAGCGTACCCTTGCGACCAGTGCTCTCCTCGATCGGGACATTCAATTATGGGCTCGCAAAGGCTCTTAGTCAAATATTGTCGACGATTATTGAGAAAAAAAACATGATACGTGATTCTTTTGATTTTCTCAAAGAAGTGCGAACATTATCGAAGGATTTTTCGAAACATCGCATGGTATCATTCGATGTTTCTAGTTTATATACAAATGTACCAATCAACGAAACTATTGAAATCATTCTCAACTCGTT